GTCATCTCTCCTTACTCTGTTTATGTGGTAAGTGAAATGTTATGTACTGTAATGTAACCATGTCTATGAATGTAACAGGCTACCGCTAGCAAGCGGCTAAGCATGTCCCTTTAGTGGCTCCGTAGAATGCGTTATTTGTTTTCTGCGCCTTTCTGACTACAGCCACACCTCTAACCCAGGCGGGGGAGTTTGTGGTCCGCACAAAACTTTTATTTGACATCGTCCCAAGTTACTGTAACCATTATATGCTAGGCAAGTCTTTTTTTATACCATGCAAGTCTACAGTGTGCGCGTGAGACAATGTGTTCTTCTGTTGTCTTTGACAGCTTTTAGGTGCGTTACTGGCAGCGCCACATGAACCACCGCATCAGCACGGAAAACATGGGGAAATTTTTTAAGACAATAATCGCACAACCTATTCGATATTCTATAATTAAATCAACTAATCGAATATTCAAAAATCGTGACCCATCCCTAGTAGCAACTGACTTCCATAGTATGGTAAAAAAAAATACTATGGAAGTCAGTGGGAACCAGTAACTGTTTGGTTACTAACATTCTTCAAAATATCTTCTTTTGTGTTCAGCAGAAGAAAGAAATTCATACAGATTTGGAACAACTTGAAGGTCAGTAAAAATGTTGGCAGAGCAAATAAAAACCTGAATGAGCAGAAAAAAAATCCCTACAGTTGAGAAACTGGAAAATGTTCAATTTGCAAAAATAACTCATTGAGCATCAGCTTTATGTGACTCTAAAGGCCTTACTGAGGTCAAGCACATCATCAGTCTTGATGAGATCCTCCGGTCGGGTGAGAGGTAGTTGAGTTTCTGGTTCTCCCTGCAGCTGTAGGGACAGCGAGCGCAGCATGAAGAACACACGTATAGCCTGCAGGGACACACACACACACACACAATTAATGCTGCTATAGAAACGAATTAATCATAAACATGCAGCATCAAATGATTTGAATCTTCTTGGAATTTATGTCCTACATAAGTGCTAAAAGTTCTTCTAAAATATCCTTTAAAACATTATCAATGTATCTCAAATATAAATATTATCAATGTAACGGAGTGTCTTAAAACAAGGAACACATTAGCCTGATGAAGAATTTAAGTTCAACTGTGACATTACCCAGAGTTGTCATGATATCAAAGTTTTAGTACTGACACCTGTGAAATTTTACGACTCCTGGCACCACTTTCAAAACGAATATAATATTGAAAACAATCTTTTATGTAGAAAGTTAAATATTAATAATAATAAAAAAAACAGTTAAACAACTGCTCACTTAAGTAAACAGTGCTTAAAGGGGTCCTATTATGCTTTTTCACTTTTTCAACTTTAGTTAGTCTGTAATGTTGCTGTTTGAGCATAAAAAAGATCTGTAAAAAACCAATCACAGCACATTTCGTATTTCAGAAGGCGGGCCTTTATTTGATACAGGAACTATTCGAGCCGTTCATGCCAGACTGGGGAGAGAGGTGTTGTAATAATGTAAAATATGTGTTTTTCGAACAACCTAGTATGAGAGCCTGTTCTAGTACACCCCCAAAACAAAATCAAGACTTTGTAAAAGAGCATAATAGGACCCCTTTAAACTTTTCTATGTACATATTAAATGTAAAATAACTACTTAAATTGCTGCTACAGTCTTAACTGAATGATTGACACATATATAATAGTACTGATTCAATGCTGTTGAAGTTATACCGAGAATCGGCTCTGTAAGAGAAGTGCATTTTACCATTCATGTTAGGGCTGTGCGATATGGACAAAAAAAACCTATCGCGATTTCTTTGATCAATTTTGCGATTTTCAGCACAGCAGAAATAGACGCACCGCTCCTGGAGCGCACTGCCGGATCGCAATCGCGTGCAGTGTGAACGCTCTGATCCGTTAACATGGGCGCGGAAAAAATACGCACCACAGACGGAGTGTGTGAACCTGGCGTTACATTTGTATGCCTGCCTGATCTGTTCTGTTCTCGTGCTCCATTTAGGCGCACTGCATTCTGATTGGTTCGGATAGCATACTGCGGGAGGTCGGGGGCGCGGAAAATCGTGCTATAAAGCGATTTAGAAATCGCGCAAGCTCAAATCGCGATTTTATGATGATTTCGATTAATCGCACAGCCCTAATTCATGTGCACAGCTGCATCACCAAATAAGCATATGAGTATTCAAAATCAGATGCTTGTCATTCAGACCAAATTAAGTTGATACTCTGTATTATCGATATAGCAGAAAGCCTTGCATTGTTACATTTCTGAAGCACATGAAATCCATTTCTAAAAAGCTTTGGCTGGTTTCCCAGAAGACAAACCAAAGGAAAAGGAAAAGGTTCGGAGTGGATGTTTGACAAAAAAAGACAAAATATTTTGACAAAAGGCCACAAGACCCACCCATATAATTCAATCTGAGATCTTTCAGCATGAGTGTATATGTTCATCACTGACCCTGCGTGTCCTCTCGACATCTCCACAGGGCAATCGCTTCACAAAGTCAATGCCGGTAAGGGGGGTGCCAGTGGGAGGAAGTAAAATGGATGCATCCATCATAAGATATTCCACATTTAGCGGCTTATTCTATACACACAGTACACATAAACAAAGAAAAAAATAATATTAATCACTCAATGGGCTTGTTGACCCTGGTCCAACAAACGCAAACCTTTATTTTGCTAACCAATCAGAGCAACACTCTCTTGGAATTTGTTGGTTCAGTGTGAACATGACAGTTGTGTTTCACAACATTTTAAATCCAACAGCCATGAATCATTTACTCATTTTCATGTCATTCCAAACCCAAATGACTTTCTTTTTTCTGTGAAACACTAAAGATTAATTTTTAAAGAATATCTTTGCCACTACTTTCAATATAAGCTAAAAGGCAAGCTACATGTAAAAAAAATCATTAAAGTGGACAATATGGCTTATATTCCATACTATTTTATGCTCCATGTGGTCTGTTTTCCACAAAGTATATGACTTCTGAAGACTTAGAATATAGAGTCATGTTGGCTTTTATGGTGAAAGCTAAAGTCCACATTATCTATAACTGCAGGAAAACGAGTGAGCAACTAAATTTTTTATTCTTTTGTGTTCCATGGAAGGATAAAATGAGCATGAGTAAACAGCAATATTATCATTTTAGCTGAGATAATTCTTTACAAAAAAACAATACTCCCAGGAAACAATGTTCTGTAAGAGAAAGTAGTATAAACGTAGGCTGCATTAGCCACTCCTTATCCAGTAAATGTCTGATAGATAACAGAGATTTCCTCTCACCTCAGAAGGATGTGTTGCTGTATCATCAGGTTATGACAGACAGTAAGAGTAAGGTTGCAAAAAAGACAACATTTATGTGTTTTGTAAGGAAGCTTACCATCATGCTCCTGTACTCATCCTCAAACATGTCCAGGAAAATCTCCTCCCCCTGTAGGAAGAGGTACATTACAAGGAAAAAATTACCATAAAAGAAAACAAGATACATGATACACTACTGTTCAAAAGGTTAGAGTCAGTAAGATTTGGTTTAAAATGGAAAAAAAAATGATTTAGAATTTATTTACATTTATTTAACGTTTATTAAAATTTTTAATTGTCTATTCATCAATGAATCCTGACAAAATAATTCAAACAAACCTATTAAGCATTACAACTGTTTTCAACATTAAAGATATTAAAGACATATTTCTTCATCAGCAAATCAGCATATCAAAATGATTTCTGAAGAATCATTTGTTACTGAAGTCTGTTGCTAAAAAGTCTACATAAACTACATCCCACTATCCCTCAGAGAAAGGTAAACATCACTTCAAGCTAAAAAACTTATATTTTATATATTTAAAGCGAGTTTTTTGGGCAGTGTAGAGTAGTGCTTGTTGTTTGTCATTTCTCAGATCACAAATACAGACATGGTTTTATGTTTACGCGGCGCGAACAATAACCCTTTTCCTTGACCAAATCAACTTATTCTAGAATGACTACTGTACTATATCACATTCTTAAAAATGAATTATTATTAATAAGTTATTCGACTTGTGTTACCATCTGACGCCAGTACTGTCGAGAGATCAATTATTCACATGAATCAGTGTGAACACTCATTTCCATGAAAATCCCCATGGGAAGGATGAAGGGAGGGACATGATGAGAAAAGTAATATAAAAGTAATATAGAGAATTAAAGAGAAAATGAGCATGAGTTAAATTATTCAGAACAGTCTGACTCTTTCACATATACAGTACAAGTCATTTTTGGTCAATGCATTATTCCCATGCTTTCACTTGACTTCACTATTGTGCTATAGTGTAGACAACAGAAATGATAAAGGAACAGTAGGTGTGTCCAAACCCGTGACTGCTGCTTCACGTGTCTGCCCAGATTCTTGGAAGAGCTGGGACACACTGATCCATTATGAACACACACAAGAGATGCAGATGAGATACCAATACATGGGCCCTCCCAGGGCCCTCCATTATCCCAGAACAGAACATTCAGTACTGTGATTATTTACATACAGTCCTCACTTGTTTAATAACAGACGTTTTGGATAATATCAGTCGGAATGCGCAGCCTGCATAATTCATTCTGAAAGAGATCTTTCTTTGAATTGTGAAAGCAAAACTGGCTGCTGTTCTCATGTACGTTAAACAGAGTCACGGCAGAGCACTCATATTTCATGAGAAAATGACTTTAGGGAAAATAAAGAAAAAAAGTGCTACAGGCTGCAGTAAAAGCTGGAAAACACGCACTAGTGTACTTTGCTATCTTGCAGGAATCGGAGTACTCTATTCTGTTTAATTGTAGTTTGCTTTCACAGAAATGTCTCAATGCGAATAAGCCACCATGAGCACTAACAAGTTTCAACAGGAAGCTGTTGGGATTTTCCCAAAGATCAAAACAGCAAAGTCTTTAGGATGAGCTGTCTGAGCTTAATTCTTCCTCAGACTTTAAAGGAAATTAAATACAAGTGGAGTGACTAGGTGATAATTATGAGAATTATTAGTATGAAGGTCTGTCGCCTTGAACTATCTGAACTTCCAGTAAGCACCTGAACGAACTGGTGACTTTTATTTGATCCGATATAAAATAAAAGACCATCTTGCCTTATAAAACCGCCTCAGAAGGTGAAGACTCTCTTCTCGGGCACCCTAAAAAAAGAAAACATCATCATAGCAATGGTATGATCGAGTTGCACAATATAAACAAGTAAAATGTCCAACTTCCTATATATCTGTCTAGTTTCAAAATAAGAATGAAAAGAACCATTACCCAACGTAGGAAAAATTACTGGGAAAAACCTAAGTGTGCATGCATGTGTTAAGAAACAACTGATTTTTAAGAAATATGTTGCAATCAGGTTTGAATAATCTCATCTGCAGTGGTTGATAAGCGAATCAGCATGAATCACTTCACTGTTTTTAACTTGATGTCAAGAGCCATCCTTTTCAATTATTGTGAAAATAATTGAACAAGTAACTGAATAAGTGACAAAGCAGGACATACTGTGGGTATAGAAAAGAATCACCCCCCTTTAAAATAATCAAATTTTGCTGCTTTGCAGCCTGAAATGAAGACGGACCCAGTTTTTGTTTTATCCAGCTGAATTTACTCAGTGCAACTTATAACCATCCAAGTGAAAGATATAACACCAACATGTCAGAAAAATAAAATAAAAAATACAGAATCACTGAGTTGGAAAAAGCATCACCCCCTTGTGTCAGTATTATGTTGAAACACCTTTTGCTTTAATTACAGCCTTTAGTCTGCTAATTACAGCCTCTACTAACTTTGCACATATAGGCCCCGTCCACACGGAGACGCATTTAGCTGTATACGCATACATTTTGTATCGTATAGGCATTTCGTCCACACGGATCCGGCGTTTTGGGAGAGTGAAACCGATATTTTTTGAAACCGGGTCCCAGAGTGGATAAATCTGAAAACGCCGCCCTTGTGTTTTCGTGTGGACAGCGAATCCGTATATTTTCTGAAACGATGACGTCATCAGCCCACGTCTCGCCCCTAGTCAGGTCACCCCTCCGCTCTTCACTGCTTCGTCCCTGGAATCCTTTAGCTCGAATACAAGACGGGTCTTCTCCATACAACAGTTCGTTCTGGTTCTCAAATCTGATTGGTTGAGAACCGTGAGATATTGTACTGGTATCGCTACAGGAACGCTCTTTCACAATTTTGTATCACTCCGCTTGTTCTAGCCGGGTCTATGCTTTTTTAAAATTATTCAGTACTCGAGCGATACCGGCTCTATATCAGCGGCTGTGATTGCCTCTGGCACTCGTGCCTCTGGCCTAATCACAGCCATACTGATCAGAGCATGTGAGCGGAGCGGGGAGCGGAGTGGTAATATTTCCTTGAGAGCGCAGAGCGCCTTTCTGAAGGTTCCGCTCCGCTCGCTCAATACGCTCAGTGCCGCTCGCTCAACCCAGAATGCCCTTTGGTGATTTACTTGTTCGAGATCGAGAATCTGTAGTAGTAGAGCAGTTATGGGGTTCAGATATTGTTTCAACGAAGTTGCAAGCCTTATACATAAATGTGCTTCGCTCACATGCTCTGATACGGATATAGAGCCGGTATCGCTCTCGTACTCGAGTGATATTGCACATATACTGTATATTCCATGGTCTGTCCGAATGCTCGATTCAGATTGGCTGGCAGGTATGCAGTAAAACCGTTTAATGCACAGGTAGTTCCAAGTCAGTTTAATCACCGTTCTATATTAACCCACTGATGCATCGTGGTCACTACAGTGGACAGATATTTGGAAGCCAGTTTGAACCATTTAAGATGTAGCATCATGTCCCAACCACCAACTGGCGAACCCCCAAAGTGTTGTCTACGATTCCATTTAATTGTTGTCTTTTTATCTATTTTTTTGTTTTGAGATATTGCATAATATATATTCAAAATGGCGGCAGGAAAAGGGGATGCACCATGTACCTCGGGAATAAGTGTTAAATACTTTTATTCTCAGAAAACCAGACCGGTACAAAAAATATTTTACAGTTAAATAGGATGTCAGAAATAGATTCATCCAGATTTTAACAATATTTTTCTTGTACATTTTGTTCTGTGACAGAAAATATACCTGTCCACTACAGTAGACGAGACGTCATGCACCAAAGGGTATAATTCTGCCTATGGGCCTATATATATAGGTTCTGCTTTATTTTGTGTTTTATTAAAATTATGATATAATTTACACTTTAATGGTTTTATTGAACATAAATATTAAATATTCTTCAGATTTTATCATTTATTTCAATGCTTACAGTCTATATTTATTTATTAGGTAATATAAAAGTGTAGGCATGTATACATGTATACTGTATGAGTGCAGATATATGTGTGCATGATTGTGTTCGAGTGCATGGTGGGAGGGTGTGTGTGCTTGTGTGTGTTTGTATTTGTGCTCACATGTGTATGAATAGCTTGTTGTTATTGAATGTTCTTATGTGTATTCAAACCATTTTCACTTAGCAAATATTTTAAAAACCTGTTTTTTTAAGACCTCACATTTAGTTCTATTGATTGACTTTTTATACCTTTGAGTATTTTCACGTAGCAAATATTTTAAAAATTTGTTTTTTTAGGACCACACATTTAGCTCTATTGATTCACTTTTTATACCTTTGATGCACGGTGTCCACTACAGTGCTTTAATTGATGCACACTAACCAACACGTATCACTCGCGCACACACACACACACACACACACAACACAGAGAGAGGTCAGAGATCGCTGATTGCGCTGCACATGCACACAAACAAACTTGTTGTCAACGCTTCCCCGTGATTTTCATTAATAAAATATCCTAGATACTAGATCGCTACATTATATTCCTCAGCAACGAGGTGGTAAAATCGCTGTTTTTGAAGTAATTGTTTGTACAGAGAGACGCGCAGACGCAGCTACACAGAACTGTCATCTCTCTCAGTCTCTCTCTCTCTCTCTCAAACGATCAATCGATAATTAATTGAAATACATGCTATAATTCATTAAAATAAATGTGGTCTTACCGCACTATTTCATCTCTGTGTATGATTTGAAGCGGGCAGAACGCTAGCGCTAAAGTGCCGTAACTGACGAAAATAACTGTCATTTTTACCCATTCGGTCAAATATTGTGCTGCAAAGAGCAATACTAGTTTTAACTTGTCTATAACTTGGCAAATGACCATGGAATAAGCGGGATAATCAACGGCTAGCCGTGCGTTAAAGGATTTTAAATGCACTTCGCGGA